CTTTGGCATCGGACGGCCGGCGGCCGCGAGGTTTGTTGCTGATACGGTATTTGAAAACATGGTCACTCTGTACCCGAGTCGCACACTTCAGAGTACCAATGGCTCTAACACCGGGGTTGAGGTGGTTGTTCCATTCGAGAATCACGCTGTGGATAAGCTGATAGGAGACGACGAAATGAGGAAGTTTTTCGAGTTCAAGAGTGTGGAAGCTAGGGGTTCTTGATGTTTAATTTCAACGCTATTCCTCTTCTGACAATTAGATCACTGAATGCACTGGAGTCTGGCACTCTGGACCCTAAGTGCCCTGAAACCCCTTATGGCTCGTGCATCACCACACATTTTTCACCTATATTTTACTTGTAAACATTTCTGTTATTCTACACATGTACTTTTTGCCGCATTCAACAAGAAATATAGCACAACCAATCGGGCTCGCTAGTTTCTGGCCCAATCCAATCATCATGTCGGAAGCCACAGGATTTTCGCTGTTCACTCAGCTGCCGATAGAGCTACGAATCGCTATATGGGAGCTTTCTATCCTTGACCATAATCGGGCCCGGTTTGTGGCGATCAACGAGGAAACGAAGCGAGTGATATGCATGACGAGTATCGCAAACTCGCCACTCTTTCGCGTGTCTTCCGAGAGCCGCCAGGTTTCTCAACGACTTTATCCCATTCGGCTCCCCGTCTTCTGCAAAGTATATAGCAGGCACTTTGCAAACATACGTTCTCATGACCGGGCCGAGGAGTGCTACAGAGCCGTGGACGAGAATATGGAAGACGAGCCTGACAAATGCAAGGGCCACATTTACATTAGTACTACTCACGATACCTTCGTTTTTGGCGTCGACAGGTTGGCGCCTAGCCACTTCGACGAATACTGGTGGGCCACCGGCCCGGTAGGTGGCAGGCCCAATTTCGGGTGGAGGTCGGCCAGTCTAACTCAGCTACAATGCCTCGAGGTTCGACATGTTATGATAATCAACACCGTTAAGAACTACTGGCTGAATGATGGGTGTCGCAATACGCTTCGTTGTACTGTCAGGCGTGGTGCACTCGATGAGAAAGCTTGGTACGATGAGGGAGCCTTTCCAGGCGTTGAAGATTGCATTTATCTGCCACTGCAAGGGGAGGCATTTGTGCAAGCTATCTACCTATACCCATACATGCTCTTTAGACCCGGCCATAGGATCCTAGCAAGGCTGGCCAGGGGCAATCATCTTGTCTTTTTCGATAAAGAGCAGATAAGGGAGGCCCGAAACAAGTCCTCAGTGTGTGTCTGTATCGATGAGGAAATTCGAGAGAGGGAGGTAACTTGGTAATGAGACCGCGGGCGATGCGAGTCATTACCTTGTATGTCTGTATGCAAACTATGGCATTTCTGCAATAAAGAATAACTTCATCAACATGAAGAGGGTGAAAGCTCTGCACGAGGTTCAGGGTCGACTTCGTTGATCATCAGTACTTGTATAAGCCAGCCACTTATGTACCACGATGATGGTAGTCTCTTTAGCGAAGAGCTCAAATACATCGGTGCCGGTGGCCCTATTCTGGTCTTTCATTCCGATCTTATGGCGTCGCTGGGATTGGCTCGCGTTGGCGCCGGCGGACGAGCTAAAACCTAGGTTCGCAACGCTGACGGCGTTGTGGTAGTAGGGCTGGTGTAGCTCAATGGCCGCGGGCTGCTCCAGCAGCCGCCGTGTAGCCGCCACCATTGGTGCGATTGAATGGATCACTTGGGTGTGTCGGATCAGGACTGGGGCAGGAGCTCGCCCGCTCCAGACCAATTGGATGAACCCAGAGCTGCTGACTGAGTAGTGGTTGGAGGTACCCCTTTCATCACAACTCATGTCACAGTACCTACGGTGTATGTGGCTACCCCTGGAGTCATCTCATTCGCTATCACGGCTCCTACATGAAAGCGGGGAAGAGCCCAAGCATTTATTCAGGTGGGCGTTATTCTCTCTACTTCACAGATCGAGCGCCAACAACATTCTTACGATCAATTTGACGGGAGTAGAGATGCTCTATAATGTATCACTATCGGAAGCTCCAGCGATTGGACATCCGACTGGTCAAAATCGACCCTGATAATGACGAGGTAGAGATCAGATGTAATCTCGAGCAACTTCCTCTCGATTCCAGCCTTGACTTCTACGCCCTGAGCTATGCCTGGGGTGACGCTTCGAAGAAACAACCGATTTTAATGGACGGTCAGCCGTTTGAAGTCACTGAGAATCTATACGAAGCTCTTCATCGCCTAAGGAGATTTTACGCCAGACAAGAAGATAACCGTCCCTTCTGGATCGACGCGATCTGCATAAACCAGAACGACGATAACGAAAAATCGAAACAGGTGCCTCGCATGGCCAACATCTATAGCGAATGCCGTCAAGTTGTCATATGGCTCGGAAAGAATGAAGAGTCGAGGGACAAATCCATTGGGGAACTATTCAGAGAGGCGCCTTTGATCTGTCAGAAAATACATCGCCGCGAGCAACAAAGCGAAAGCAGTGAGGGTGCCGGTCTGGCTTTGGATATTAGCGACACCGAGCTCGAGCAGGCGGTAATGCCTTTGGCGGATTTGAATCAGCGGCCATGGTTCGATCGCATATGGACTCTTCAGGAAGCCTGCCTTGGGGTCGAAAATGGGTAGTTCGACTCCATAGATCGAGATCCGGTACTGTGGGCTGGTGATTACCATGTAGACATGCGGGATCTGTCTGACGTATCGTTTCACGTTGACAAGCTGGTCCCAGACCACGGAGGGTTCCTGACTCGTGCAACTAAATTGGGATATTTCGATTCCCTACTCCGTAGTCGAAGGACCACGCCGAGCGCCGTACAATTCTTCCTGCAAATTCTTTTCTCGTTAGTATATCAGAAAGCTTCCAACCCTTTGGATTATCTATACGGATTCCTGGGTCTTGTTGGGGAAGAATTGGGCAAGGAATTTCCCGAGTCATTAAGGCCAGATTATAAATTGAAGCCTGAGGAGGTGTACCTGAACTATGCAAAATATCTCCTCACAGAAACGAAAGATCTAGGGCTACTCAACTTTAGTGAGTCCGAGCTGAACGGCGCGCCATCATGGGTGACCGACTTTCGACATCTTGAACCCGGTGGTGGCGGGCTTGAGATGTCGACAGCCTATTTGTGGACGGATGGAATTACTTTGTCTGTCAAAGGGCTCGAAATCGGAACATGGGTCAGTCAAGTCCCAGCCGTCAATCTAAGTTTCGAAAGCCCAGACATACTTCGATGCCTTGCTTGTTACGATTTGCTCGAAGAAGAGATCTTTGGTCGGGCTGCGGCGTACCGTCAACAATCAGTTGATGCCGTCCGAGAGCAGCTTCTTGCAACCTTCGGTATCAGCCCACCAACCTATGAGGGCTTCATCACCCGTCTAAAGGCTGGGGACGCTGGTTCCAACCAAATACATGAAACACCTAATGGCCTTTTGCTCTATTCCTGGTCTACTATGGGCTGGCTTGTCCTTACTGACGGAACAGTTATGACCATTCCAGATGGTAAGGAGCTGCATAACGGAGATCTGGTTTGCCTTTTTAAAGGGTCGAATGTCACCAGCATCATACGTAAGGTTGATAATGGATATCAATTCATAGGCCCAGGCAGAGTACGAGATGGTCCATATCGTATTGGAGTTAGATTTGATGAAAGCTTTTGGGTGGGGAAAGACTTAACTGATTTTGATCTTGTTTAGTCGTAGCTGGATTAATTTGTATTTCCGTATCCAGGTCCCTATCCAGTCAGATTATTTTGGACTGTACGTACCAATGACTATCTAAGTTAGGTATCTACAGTATGCACATGCATTAGGGATTTTGTTACGAAGACGAGCAATTGAGGGGATACAGTGGACGTTGTTTCGCGAGGATCTCGCAACTAGATAGCTGGACTATGGATCTGGATGTGTGCGTGTATGACTCATCCTAGTCCTTGTCGGGCCCATACGGACGACCAAAGGTCAGAGCATCTGAGAAAGTGGAAGATCAGGTCTCATTCGTTGCGTCAGGTAGACATAGGTGGTTCGACATTGTCCGTCCAACCGCCGCAAAATCACATCGTGAACAGCCTTTCTCACTCTTTCTAAACCAACTATCAGTGTGGGTGTTACTGGCAACCGATTTGAAGACATTACCGAAAATGACTTGCATATCACGTCCCCCAAGCCCGTTGTTATCGACAATTAGCTGAATTGCACTACTTACAGCGGCGCGTCTTGTCCTATTCAAAGCCTCACCTGAAATGAAAGCCCCTGACTTCCTTCTTCCCAGCACCTAATAGCCCGCCTGTCCTAGAAAAGGGGCCCCGTATCCTATTCCGCACGCCAGTCTACCTATCGCAGCACCCCTTCGTGGCGCTGCAGGCTACACAGCAAAAGGCTGAAGATGCATACCTTGACCGCAGCGGTCTTATGCGGCTATTCTCATCGCGTACAACATATGATCGGGCACGTAGCACCATTAGAGGCTATTGCGGGGCCACGCGCGGCATTTGCATAGTAGGAGACCACGGGCGGTAGGTAGCTGTTCCTGGCCGTCCAACTAGAATCGGATTAGCCAGGGTATGATGTGAATGTGTGGCTGGCGGACGCTGCTGGCGGATCGTGATGATAAGGGCGATATTGTTATCTACTTTATGGGTACCTCCATTTTTGCGACGCAAAGATAATGATTATCTACGGTCCAGCAAGAGGACCCCGTAGAATAGGAATTTCAATTAGGTACTCCAGATCTCAGAGACCAGATGCCATGTACTGCCCTACAAGGTTGCTTGTGAAATATATTCTGAAAAATTAAAGGTCATTTGGGTTAAAACCTCATATATCTAAGGTACATACATAAGGTACTGTTTATGTGCTGTTCACAGGGAAAAAAGAATTGCTCCTTCGCAGCTGGCACAGCCAGAAAAAGCAATGTCCAAGAACTGGATTTATAAAAAAAAAATCAGTAAGCAAATTGAATGCCAAAAGGTATCTCTCCCGCCTGGGATTGAACCAGGAACCTCCTGATTAACAGTCAGACGCTCTAGCCAATTGAGCTACGGAAGATACGGCTGTTGAAAATATCGGTAGAAAACTTCCTCTATAACTCCGAGTTTCCTTGGGTATCAGAATAGACCCTACAGCCCGATTAGTACTAGATTCTGAAACACCCTAATTACTAAGCAGCACATACCCTACGGTTTAAACATCGGAACCTCAAGTGCTTCTTCTGTGGGAGCATTGAGCAAGGCTATTCCGGTTTCGGACGCCTGGCTTTGATGCTGTGATTGATTGACATGTCGCCGAGGAAATACGTTTCCAATGGACAAGCACCTATGGGTCCCAATCATTGCTGTTTGTGACAAAGATACATATATGATATATCCTCGAATATTTGTAAGACCCGGTTTCTTAATACCTATGTAGTATGAGGTGGTTCTCACAAAGAGCCTCGATGGCACGTTGGATCGGTGATGGTCCAGATGGCTGCGACAAGCGTTGTCAGCGATCAACATATCCTATAAATCCCTGACCCTTGAAAATTCATACGGTTTAATGAAAAAGACAGTGGTATTGCTACCTAAGCACAAGGCTTCCAACATAAGTCTTGAGAACGACGGGTATAGGTATAAGAGGAAACTTACTGTAGTGTTTCTATCTTAGAGGACTATCATAGGGGCATGAAACAATTAATGTCTTTGACAGCATTCCATCCACGCCAAACAAGCTCGCCATTACCATTAAAATTTTGCCCAACAAATATTCTTCTTCCAATAATGCGACCCCCCACGCACCACCTAGCGAGTAATCAACCCTTTCCCACCAAGCGCAAGCTCCACGCGGTCCGTCTTTTTCGCTGACCCGCCATCTGCGAGCGGCGTTCCAGCGTTCGCATCAACCACATCCGCCAGCTCGCCACCGTCGGCCTTATCCCTCGCAACCCTACCAACTAACCCGTCGATCTTGGTCAACCGCTTCTCGTCCTCAGGCGTCACCGGGCCAAGGGGCGACAGGTCGTCGTCGGCCAGCGCCTTTCCGATCTGCGCTACCTGCATGGCGTCGAGCGCCGGGGCGCAGGTGGGCACGGAGTAAATGAGCCATGCGACGGCGAGCAGGCCGGCCGTCTGCAGGAAGACAAGGATGGACAGCACGATCAAGCTGGCAGTAGCCATGCGCGGGCGCGCCATGATGGTGCCGGGGGAGTGGTAGATTTTGCGCGCCCAGTAGGGCAGCTCCAACAGCGCCGTCTTGGTCAGCACGGCCGTGTTGGCGAAGTACATGCTCATCATGAGCGCGTACTCGGCATAATTGGTCGAGTTGAACAGGCGCACGTGCGTGCCCACCACGCGCGTCAGATAGTCGTCCAGGTCATAGTCGTACCGCCCTCGCTGCGGGTCTGCGTTTTGGCTCACCTTGTCCGCCGCGTCGGAGCAGAACGATGGTACCCCCGAGCCCAACTGGATGAAGTATATCGACTGCGAAAAGGGAATGTTGCCGTGCTCGCACACACCCTCGTATGCTTGCGTCGGCGTCAGTCCCGTCACATTGTTTGCTACGAAGCGAAGGAGCGAGTAGTTGCCAAACAGCGCCTCGGCCGATACCATGAGGGGGCCCAGCACCGACACAAATTCGTACCTGAAGGGCAATACTGGTACATTCTCGGATGGTAAGAGGTCTGATCCATTCCACGTGGATAGGTCCCTTGATACGATGTGTTAGCTGGGTATCGCCCTACAATTTCGGGGAAGGGGAGGTTACTCTGCTGTAGGACGTGCAAAGCCTGCACCCGAACTTCGGTAGTCATTGAAGTTCTTTTCGATGTCGTCAGGATCAGGCCATCTATCCAGCAGTGGGTCATAGATGTAGTCGTTCCCCTCGTTTCCGAGCTCGAAGTAGCCCCTGGACGTCGATGCTGTGCAATGTATGGTGAAGTTGTCAGTATAGGACAGGTAGGCCCCTCCTTGAGATACTTCTAGGTCAACGTATAGGTGCTCGATTATATCCTGCCGGTGACGACTGGGTGTGAAGGGAAACTGACTCGCGTTTCCGGGCGCACAGACATTCAGAGTGAGCCCCGGGCGCTCGACGTGTGTATTTACGGGCTCGGGACCTGGGCACGGGGACGGAAAGTCAGAGCGCGAGATGAACTAGCAGTGCGCCGACGAGTTCAGCCGCATAGCATGTTCCCGAAGCACACCCGTGTTGGTTCCGTTATGCAACGCCGTGGCGAAGAAGCCGTCTAGGTTTTTTCCAAATTCGGTCGAATAGACCAAGAAACTCTGCCTGAGCGTCGGATTTTCATAGGCCTCGGGCCAGTCGGTAATGGGTTGACCGGCCACAGGTTCGTTTGGGGCTCCGTGTCCAACACAGCGACCAGGCGACCCACAACATCTTGAAGGACCAGGTCACGCGGCAAGCGGTGCATATCGGCTGGCTCCGGATCGTAATCGATGACGGTAGGTCCAAACGTGGAACAACCCGTGACAGGTATGTCGAAACACGACGTAGCCGCAATTGCGTCGAAGGTGACCATCCCCGACGTCAGGGGTTGGAGGACGGCGCCTGGGCAAAGTTAGCGGAGACCTTGGTCGTGGACTGTAGAGCCAAACCTAGCCCGATGAGCAGCGCTGCCAGCCATAGGAAACGGCTGCCTCCCCCGTCGGTGCGAGAGCTCCATAGCAAAGCAATATTAGACCACCCTCTGTCAGCTAGCGCAAACAACTGCTGTACATTGAGTTTCTGGTATCGGTTGCAGCGAGGAGGTTGGTCGCTTATCTGGGCCGGCGCTGGACTCCATCGCGCAAAGGTTTCTGGTATTCTGCTGTACCAAGTCCAGATAGAGATTATCATCGTAAATTCATCATTTTGCATGAAAAGAGCTTCTTCAAGAGCCCATTTCTATTGCTGGATATTGTAGGACTTGTAGGACTCAGCCTGTTGCCTCCCTACATTGCCACCTACTCCATATCACCTACATAGCCACCCACCACATATCGTGTTTGATTTGTAGGTAAATTAATTATGCTGCATTAATCGCGGTGCTTTCCAAGCCACAGCAAGGTACCTTCTATATTTCGACGTCAATGACCTGGGTTGCAACGCGCCGAGGCTACGCTTGCGCATAAACCTATAACTGAAGCATGCTTCCGCACGTGTTTTCTTCTGAACGAACAATACCAGCCGCAACTCGATACCAATCGGAACTTGTGAATCTCTTTCTAATAGCGCTTTAAGGAAATTGAGTTCAATTGTATTAGCACTTTAGGTGATTTCGCTAAGTGTTCAATTTTCTTTTTGATGCATGACGATGTGGATTTATTATACCCGACGTCCTGCTGTATGCGCATTTGACCATTCAACACAATGCCTTAGACGCTGCATATAAATTCCCTGATTAATCCCCAAGTCCCTTTCGCTAGGGGCAGTTGCCAAATTCCTCAACTTGATGTCCCAATCATGTTTCCAGTCGCGTCGCAGTACTATACCACTCATGACGACGACCCGTTCCATCCCACAACCTTCAGAAACGCTATAAGGGAGTCAGTAAGCGAAACGATCTGATCTTTCTTCAGCGACAGCTCTTTCCATCTCGGCTCCGCGACCCTGACTTCGGGTTCCTGTTGAAGCTCTTCATCACTTGGGTCTTCTCTCCAAGGAAACATATCTTCGAGTTGATATGAGATCCGTTCATGAACATCTTGCCACGATTCCGACCGGGCGGTCTGCCGGCTTGGCCTCACTCTCTCGGTGATTAACGGCTCCCATGCTACCTCGACGAGTTCGGCTACCCTGCGGAGCCATGTACGTACGGCGATGCAATCTCGGCGCAACTGCTCCATCTTGATGCGGCGCCAAGTCTCTCCATTTTTGAAAACATCTGTATTGGGCAACTTGAAACCCAACTCTTTCGGGTATGCCATGTGAAAGTTCAACCATGCCCGCGCCGCCACCGGAATAATCATATGTATCTCTTTCAGCAGATGACACTCGTCGCACGAGGGGTGTTGAGACGTCAATGTTAACATGTCAGTGCCTGGCTCGAATAGCTCCCGCGGCAGCAGATGGAGACACTCGGGGAACACAAGATCTTTGCGACAATATGGACAACACTGCCGCGTCTTTTTTATGTCCAGCCATGGCGTGATACATTCCCTGTGGAATACATGCCCACAAGGCAAGATGATAGGGCCTGACGTGCATGGGTCGTCCCAGCAGACAGAGCACGATTCGAAGGGAGAACGTTGAATATCGTGCGGATGGATTCCGAAACCGACATCCGGCGGCGAATTCTCTGTCAAATCTTCAGCCATGTTATCTGGTCAAGGGGAGGATATGTTGTAGCTGATGTACACAATGATGATTTGTATAGGTAACACGTTTAGATCGAGTCAACGGGATCACGTCAGTAAACAAAAGGACTCTTTACTGATCGGGTTGTTATGTTTACAATCAAGGTCCTGTGTCAGAGATGGCATCGAGCAAGTGAACTAGACGAAACTGAACTTGTGTGTAAGTTTGTATGAGCGGAGGATCACGGACCTCAAGAGTGTGGTTACCAGTTAAGAAAAGAGGAACTAAATAAGTAGAAAGCCTTGGCAGTAACCAATAACTCTACTCCGTGTGTTGAAGAGTCATATATATTCTTGTCGGTTCCTCGGGCTCTCCGCAATGCTATCATTTCTCTCATACGGTGAATTGACTGTCAAATTCATAGCTGGTGCTCAACCCTGAACGTTACCAGATGCAATAGGTATCTATATAACACTGGATAGAACTCTTCGAATTTCTATGGCGACATTTCTTCTTTAGGTATCGTCGTCGTGTGGGCGTTGCGCACAGAAGTTATGGCGTCTAGAATAAGCTATTAGCTCTCACGCTTGCAATGCTCTTACTTGGTGGGGAGGGGGCACAACTTGCTCGGAGTTCAAGCCGTTGAACCCAACAACGACGTGGTAGAACCACCACATGGATTGAGTTTCTATGTGATGTGTATTAGAAGAAAGGACAGGCAGATACTTATCTTCCAAACAACCAAAATGCAAAAACGCATCCAAACAGACTCAAAT